ATCATGAGCTTTGTGTCCATAGGGCATGAAGATCTGAAGGAATTTGTGGCAAAGCCTGAATGTATGCTTGGATTCTCAGATCAGGTTCCTGTATGGGTGAAAAAGGGATCAACTAAGGCTGTATTTGCAGGCCATGAGACCAGGACGCATGGGAAGACCATCAAAAAGATTAGGAGGGACCTTCGAGATGAGCTGAACCAACAAGCCCATGAGACAGGAACCCAATGAGGACCTTGAGGCATTGGATGATCAGACGAAGCAAGATTGGCAATTGGTGACCACTGAGGATCAAAAGGGTGGGGGAAGAGCTCATTGACTATCATGACGGACTCAGCAACTGAGAAGATTTGAGGCCCATCAGCTGGTGAGCAATTTCTTCAACCCTGATGAGGACCCCATTGGACATGTGGGCAAGGGGTCGCTCATAGTATCTGGGCAACATGCAAGATTGGACAACATTGATGACAAAGGCAGGTGGATTGAGGATGAATCATTTAACTATTTGGGAGACATCAAGCTGCATAGGAAGGGAGAGAGTGCCAGGAGGGCATTGGAGCAATGGGTCAAGATCAGAAGGGGTCATCCTCATTTGTTGGAGCACTATGATGTTTATTCCCAACCATCCTCCAATCAGGACAATATCATTATGTCATGGGTCATTGCAAAGCAAAGGAGGATGTGTCCAGTATCCATCTATCAGACAGATTATCCTCCTTCGGCTACACCAGGTGGGGTTGGGTCCCCTAAAGGTGGATAAATTGTGAGGGTACCCAACGTGCCACAAATCCGATTTTCTTCAAGCTTGGGCTCAAAAGTGGATAAAATGACGTTGGGTACCTGGATAAATGTGGGGGAACCCAACATAGGCTCTGGCTAAAAAAGTTTGGCCAGCCTTGGCTAAATTGTTATGTTCCCAACCCTGCCTGGCAATTTATTAAAAACATCTCAAGATTCAAATCCGCCCCCTCAAGAGTCCAGTCACTCCACTCGTGAGATTTGTGCAGCCATGCATTTGTCAAGCAAAGGGCATAGGTTGCAGCCTTTGCTGGGTAGGTGGTGTGTGTGGGTTGTGTGGTGGCTCAAATGACTGGCTTGCAAGACCTTACAAAGCAATGCTCACGCAAATGCCAAGGCAATGTGGATTTCATCTGCGCAACACATTCTCTGGCAATCTTGCGTTTTCTTTGTTGTGTGGTGGTGGAATGTGGCTTTCTTTTTCTAAAATGGTTGGGTTCCAAGGTATCAGAGAGCAATACAGTGGAACATTTGCAGGGGGTGCAAATCATGTACACAAAACACCACCCTGATCAGAACTTAAAACCTCTACACTCTAGGGACATACCACAAACAATTCAAGAGATTTGCGCAGCCATGCATTTGTCAAGCAAAGGGCATAGGTTGCAGCCTTTGCTGGTGAGGTGGTGTGTGTGGGTTGTGTGGTGGCTCAAATGACTGGCTTGCAAGACCTTACAAAGCAATGCTCAAGCAAATGCCAAGGCAATGTGGATTTCATCTGCGCAACACATTCTCTGGCAATCTTGCGTTTTCTTTGTTGTGTGGTGGTGGAATGTGGCTTTCTTTTTCTAAAGCGGTTGGGTTCCAAGGTATCAGAGAGCAAAACAGTGGAACATTTGCAGGGGTGGATTTCATATACACAAAACACAACATATACACACCCACCTACCAAATACCCTGGGGCTAAAATGGGTTGGCATGTTTGGCTAAAATCATTGCTCCCCAACCTCCCAACATATTATTCCATCACCATGGTGCGCACCCAGTAGATGGGGGGCGCCCAACGTTTACATACATCTCCAGCCCCACATACCCCCAGCACAAGCAGTTGATAAAATGCTACCAGATTGGGTCTGAACTTTATTTTTAGCCGGGGCTCAAGCCCTCCTGATTCTAGCCAGGGTAGGTCGACGGGGATGACAGATTGCTGTTTCATTTAGCGACGATATATACAAGAAGATGTATGCAGCCCATCAGCTACAGTCTATCATTCCTCCCAAGATGACAGCTATGATGCAATTGACAGATACAGACTTTAGCTATGTGTTTAAAAGCTTGATGAGGAAATCTGTTGATAAGATCATGGCAAAGGGGCAGCAGGCTATGGGCACAAGTGATGTGTACCAGATGGGTGAATGCAACGAAAACATAGAAAATCTATTGAAAATCATAGAAAAACGCAAAAAACACTGAAAAAACACACACCTCCAGGGCGTCGTACTCTCTATAAATACATAGTCAATTGTCACGCTGTTCAGCCTTAAAGCTCCAAAACCACTTCATGAAGCTTTCTTCGTGGTTGCACGCAGCTCGCACGGCCCTGGGCACCGGCACGGGCGGCTTGCCAGACAACAGCAAACCAATTGGCTTGGTAATGGCTATGGGGAACGCGCAACATGCAGGAAGCAACAGGAACACCCCCCCAATCCAACATCCGCAAGACCTATATGTGCCAAGATAGAAAAGGCAAGGAACTCAAAGATACTGTAAAGCGACGGTGTCCCTGCGGGTCAATGCCGCGCCTTCACCGTACAGCCCAGTTGCATGATGATGAACAATGCTTCCTTCGCGCACAGATCACGGCAGTACCAGTGGATCGCCATCGTGGTCCTGCGCATCTGCTCCGGTAAACTGGGCAGAACCCTTTCCAAAGCCAGGCTTTGAGAGTCTTAGAAGCATCAAGCCATTGAAGCTCATGCACGTGACACCCGCCTCGATCAGTGTAATTCTGTATGCTTCCAGCTGGGGAAACTCTTAGCCTGCAGGCGCTTCACTTTGTGGTAAAAGCCTTGTCGTGTCCTGTCCAGCGCCGAGTGCGGCTGCCCGTGCTGGAACAGCCGCGCTCGCAGCCGTAGCGAGCGAGTCGCTGCAAGCGGCGCGTTCGAAGCCTGCACTGAAATCGTGGCCCCAAAATCGTTTTCAAGGGGGCACTCTGGGGCCACATCAGCAATATATTCAGCAATAAGGACGACACACGCTGAGCGCCCACAAAGGACTTCGACATACTTCAACCGTCTATGCTTCAACCGTCTATGCGAAATCAGGTGGCTCATCGATCGCGTCTGAAGCGCCAGCTGGCACCAGCGCATAGGCCCGCAAGCCAGCGACGCAGAGCTGGCCCACAAACCTTTCCATAAGGCATGGCAAGCATGTCAGGAGAAAAAGGTGGCAGGCGCCCCCGACCAAATGCCACCGCTATGATTTTCTGCGTGTTCCAACTAGTGAAATTGTCGGGCTAAAGGTGCCTCAGTTAGTAGTAGAGCTCAAAGAGATTTTGTTGGAGCGTGTTAGCAGAGAATGTGCCAACATGCTTCCACTCGTTGCTGGGAACCCATCCTCTTCAGACTCTACTGGCATGGGTTGTCTGGCTTCAGCGCCAACCACAAATGTGTGTGACCATTGTTATTTTCCAGGGTGTTTCACTGGCCCCTGGCCCCAACTCAATCACATACCCTGAGGAATCACCAGCCTATACCTTATAGGCCCAGTAGGCATACTGTCAATACTTTCTCAATGCGCCAACTCGAACAAGGGGGAATATGGGCTTTGGGCTTTGTGTAGGTGATCCCTACAGTCCGCGGTCGGAAAGCCCAGCCTGTCCAGGAACTTCTGCAGCTTGCCAAGGCAGCCGAAGATTTGGTGGCACTTCGAGCAGAGCCGCTGCTGCGCGCAGGAGCTCCAGCCTGAGTGAACTAGCCCGTGTCTTCTTCCACCTCTTTCCATCTGTCAATATGTATCAATGTGTGAAATTGAGCCCGGATCGATGGCCTCTTGACAGCAATGGAATATGTAACCACCGTGGTCGCCAGTCTTGTGGCACGCGCACCGTCTGCAGTTCGTCGGCATGCCAGCAGCATCGTCTAATGTTGAAAAGCTTTTGTTCAGGGCTATTTTGGAAGGCGTTCTTGAAGGGTGATTTTGGCAGGGTTGTTTATGGTTGTTTGTTTGGATGTATGTTTTGCTCAAGAAACCACTGCTGGGTCCGCTAAGATTCTCATAGATTTTTTGCAGGTTTGCCACTCAAGTTGGACTGGAATTACCGGTCCCATGACATCCGAACGACCCATTCCTGGAGTTCACCTGTCAGATGTGTGTGGGACTCACCTCGGGGCCAGGCTACGGCGCATAGGACGGTGCTGAGCCGCACCAAAGATCGAACCGTTGCTTGGCATCTGGGAATCCTCTCCTGCGGAAGGGGCCTCTCTGATGTCTGCACAACTCATGTACAGGTGTTGCACCTGTCTTCCCTAACCAATCCCTACCAACAATGGATCCATGTTTTCCAGAGGCACTTCAGAAAAATTGTGTCCCAAGAAATCTTCCCAAAAGGATACAAGAAATCTTCCCAAAAGGATACATTCTCTTTCACACATTCATTTTCAAACTGAAAAATGTACGGGCAAGGTTCTTGTACATTGGGGTACCCCCACCCTCTCGTACATTCGCTAAAGGGGACCCTATAACATTGGAAACATTCTATCTGGCGTACATTCTGACATTCTATATGTCTGGAAAATATATCTGGCACATATACTCTATCTGGCATAGACTTTGACATTCTATCTGGCGATGTCCGGCAACCACTGCCATCTGGCACTTGCCGTTGAGGTCCGGTGGTGCCCACTGCGATCTGGCGCTTGCTGTTGGGGTCCGGGAGTGCCCCCCTGTGAATCATGCACGTGCAGTTGAGGTATAGCCCACTGCGATCTGGAGCTGGCAGTAGAGGGGCGGTAGTGTCAAGAAGACGAGGAGGAGGAGGAGTAGAGGAGAAGAGGAGAGGAGAATAGCTCTGATAAAATCTAACAACCCTCACCTGGCAGGTGGGGAACAAACAAACACATAAAACAAACAAACAAACAAACAAACAAACAACAACCTGCATTCCTACGTTGTCCTTCGTTTGCCTGCTGGCCCACTGTTGGGCGTCAGCCTCTTAAAACAAAATGTATAAAGTGCTTTTGCATTGACGAGCCCGATTTGTGAGCCTTCCATAGCTGCCCAATGCAGAATGGTCCAAGCTGGAGGATCGTCCGGAGGGTAGACGGCGCCCCACCCATGTGTTTCGATCCCTGACACCATAAACAAAGCGCGTTGATGGAACCACAAGCAACAATATGTTGAATCAACAAAACCTCCAAGGGACCCAAAACATCCCCAAACAACAACAGCTACACAGCTGAATCCTTCAAGCGCCGCGGCGTAGACCAATGGCAGCGTCGTTGTGACGTTGGCGGTGTGACTCTGACCTGTCTGGAGTTGGCGACGGCGAACCAGTACTGATATGGCACTTTAACTGGCGTCTGAAATTCATGTGAAATGAATCTGAGATCTGTACTTCTGAATTTATCGCGCGCACGCAAGGACTGAGAAAGCTAGATCTCTTTGATGGGCAGCGCTTTGCGTGCCGAAAAACCAAAAGAACCGGGAAGTCGAGCTCCTTATCAATAGATCTTGTGTCAACGCATCTAGGGGTCCTGCCTCCAAATAATACATACTACCTAATTGACTACTGTATATATACATAAACTGTCTATATATAAATTATAGACAATACTATAATCGGACCAGGATGATAAGGGAGCGAGAACCAGCCGGGGAAGGTATTTGTCAATTCTTCAGGTGGTTTTCATTCTATTGCCATATCTCAAATTTGGGGCTCATGGATGTCCATGTCGTGCATGCGCTAGCCTGCTAGCCACTTTAAACTGTGAACTCTATATATGCATCGAATAGCTTCGGGACACCGACAATAGGAAGAACATATTGCACTCATAAACTCATAAAGCATGAAACATCATGAAACTACAAAATGCTGCTAATATCTGCTATATAATACCAGCACCCTGCAATGCATGCCTCCATCCGACACCAATGAAGTTGCAGGAGATGGACTTAGCCCCTTTTGTCCAGTTGGGCTGTCTGCGCAAGTCCTTAGGTGACTGACACATACAACGCCGCATTTACAAGTGCAGTGACAGTGTCCTTGTCATGTCACTTTGAATTCTCCAGCCAGCGCGAAAAAAAGGACGGACAAAAGGTGAGCAGTTTCAAGGGCTATCAGAAATAGGATGAAACAGGTATGCGGCGTCAGTTGATGTTCATTCCAAGCCTTCGTTTGGGCTGGCTGCGCAACACCCCCCCATTTCAAGCACACATGGAACTGCAATAGAACTGAGAAGCGCAGTGCCTTCTTTGTAAACAAACCAGGTGCTCTTGGAATATTCGCTGCAAGATTCCAGTCCAGCGGCTGCTTACCGGTAATGATTCTCACCTGAAAAGCTTATTGCAACTGGCCCGTCTCATAAAACCCCTTGTGCGTTGAGTCAAGCATTCTCACACTAGACTCATGCCGAAAGGTATCGCGGCCTCGTGATGAAAAACATCCTCCTGAGTCCCACGGTGGGCTACACTGACTCTGCATGACTCTGCGGGAAAAACACTCCGTGGTAGCGGTGAGCGGGGTAGAAAAGTTCCATGTCTTTATTCTAGGTACCTGCTTTAAAACTCAAGCTGCTAAGATAAGTTCCGTTCTCTTGCTGCCACCTGTTACTTCTTTGGACCTCAAGCTTGAGGCGAGACTCAAGGACAAAACACAAAACATCTCTGTTGTCTACCTGAGACGGTCCCGGTAGTGGAATCCAAAAGGCAAGATCGGAGTCTCCTCCTCCAATTTTGAAGACCTGAGCTGGGTTCAAACTAGCTACACAGCTGTTAGGACCAAGCTGCTAGCAAGAGACTCATCGAGCAGCTCTTCCACCCTCTGCGAGCTCTGTAGCCAAAGCTTCTCTTGTACTTGTGAAGCCTCGATCAAGGACCACACTGAGCTGCTACCTGAACAACCTGCCTGGGGTGCTGTGGGTATCTGCCAGTCTTGGCCTGAGTTGACAAAATGTGTCGAAGATATATTATCATTCCAAAAAGCTTCGCACAGTTGCGCCCGTGCTTCAGCTGCTGCCAGCTCTGCATCTGCCAAACGCTGCTTCCAAGCTTGAGCTGTGGCATTACCTGGAATTGCTCCAGATGAAGCCGAGGCAGCCGAGGTCTAGCGGGACAAGTCAAAGCTTCCCGCAGAAACGAATCGAGTGTTATTTAATTACATATATGTTTCCCTGAAAACACGCATGCCAAAACCTCGCACCTTGTGCCTGGGAGCTGTGCTCTTCGCGCATCACGAGCATCTCCTTCAAGCAACTCACCCGGTGACTTGTAGTGAATTGTGGTGTGCATCCCAGTTGGTCAAGAACTAAAACAAGAACAAAACGGCACCGGATACTCATCCTTGACGATTGTTTGTAATCTTTCTGCATTCCTCTCATCGCTAGTCTTGGTTGCTTCAAGTTTTTCGGTCATATGCGGTGCTGCAAATCTATTCGACAAAAAGGAGCAACAAAACTCCAGGGGAAACTGCCATAAGCTGCCACCTCTTGCTGGCAATGGGATGCCTCTAGCTTCTGCAGTTGTCGCGCGGTGTCCTCAGCGAACTGGATGATACATGGGGAAGAAGTGTCCATACATGCTGCTTGGACATAAATATGAAATGAACGGACTGGAGCATCAAATTTGGGCATTTGCATAGTTCTGTGTGTGATTGCACTGTCCGAAGCATAATAAGTACTGCCTTAATTCAAAGGTTTGCTTGAGCTGATCTAAGTACTGTAGAATCTAGCAGCCGGAAACATGAGCAAATGCTACTTTACATTCGTGCATCCACATTCCATGTCTCTGATTTGCGAGTCCTCCTCAAATTGGGCGGCGATTCGCGCCAACTCTGCTTCACCTGCTTCCCTGATCAGCAAAGTTCAGTGTCATAAAAGCCTCGTATGACTCTGCAAAAACACTGTGCAATTTCCATTTGCTTAAAGGAGCAAAGCCCTTACTTGCCCGAACAACGACAATCAACATGGTACAGCATATAGCAATGGGAGTCGATGGCCTCATTGTCTTTAACTCTTCTCGCTCCTGAAAATGACAGGCACTGGATTCTGGTCATGTCCAGACATTGGATTCAATCATGAACCATGACTGAGCAGTTGCTTGTCATAGTGCCGGATGTCAATTCCTGTGCTGCAGCATGGCGCAAAGCTTCTTCGGCCTTCAACAGTTTGTCTCTCAGCTTTGTGTCCTAAAAGCATTAAAGGGCGGCCATTTCCACTTTGACATAAGGGTTGTGAAAAAGTGTCACATACACAAAATATCCTCCTTCTCTCTGGCTTCACTTTCTTCGATAGCCTGCCAATCAAGCAGCGGCAGCAGGCAGGTGCCAACCCCATTTTATAAAAGACTGTATACTGTGAGATTAAATATAGTTACAATATTACTATATTATATAAATAAGAAAAATAAAATGACAAAAGCGTGGTCGACCACGTCGACCACACCCATTTTAGATTGCCAGTAGCAACGGGACCCGGGAATATTACATTAAAATATGCATAAACAAGTTGTTCTTCTCCCAAAGATTAGAGAGTCTGTCTGAATAAACCAAACCAAACCAAACCAAAGCTCCTTGGGCTCGAATAACTTGGGAACCATCTGGAAAACTCCTTCCTGGATGGCATTGGAATTCGCCCCTCGGAACTCGGTTCTATCATACATGTTCTATCAAACTCCAGTTTCCAGCCTCCTTTCCACAACCCCTGCTCTGGAAAGGTTCTGCACCTTTCCACTCTCAAGTACCGGGCTTGACCGTTAAAAAACTTCACACACACACACGGGCGCAGAAACGAATTTGGAAGAGACATATCGACAAGTTGGGGTGTTCAGATAGATGCGCGCGGTCTTTGCCGGGGGGGCACCACCTCCATGGCGCAAGCTGTAGGACTTGTGGGCAAAAGTGGAGCTCACAAATATGTTGGCAATTTCAAGCGCCTGCTGCTTCCAGCACCACAAGAACGGGACAAGCGAGGACGGGACAAGCGATTTGTTGGCCAGCTTAATGCTTTGAGCTGCTCCTTGACTTGACGAGCGAAGACCGCAGAAAGCGATGGGGAGGGAAAGCGCCATAACTGGCAGTTCCTTCATGACATACCAACCGCACAGCGCTAAGGGGCACGATTTGGGAACTCAACAGAAGTCTAAGCTTTCAAGAGGCGCCAGCTTCCAGGTAGTTTACGTTTCAGTCGGCTGAATGGCTTTCCCCACTGATCCAGTTGCTGGCGACGCTTTGGGAGAGTAAGACCTCCCCTTGAAGCCAATCAAGGAAACGCCCCAAGCAGTCTTGGTACGGCTCACGTGTTCGAGTGTCAAGCTTTTCAACGGACCCATTTGTTTGTCAACCTTTATAATTTACAACACACATATCTAATCTATACCTATATATTTTTTACGCAATTATATATCATCTCTTGCTGACCACGGCCCGTCACTACCTTCGCGCTTTTAACTTTTAACATCTTTTAACCATGTCTTCCGAACTGGCCAGTGGAAGTCCACATAGGCCCACGCACCTGACACTACCTGACACGCCGCCCGTCAACAATTGCACCAATCCTGGCCAAGGTGCGACTACCACAGGACAACGGAAACAGAACAGGACCTTCGCGCAACTCTTTAATGCCTGGCTGGGATGTGCAACATCATTGCATCATGTCTTCTCCGCCTTTGGCCGAAACCTGACGCCCCCGTTGACCCAGCCAATCAACCTTTGAAATGACACGCGCACCCAACACTCGCCGAGGGTCTCGAGCCACTTATTGAATTGCACTTCCGACAAGCGCTGGGAGAAGATTGTTCTTCCATTATCTTCCATTTACCTTTGAGAGCCCAGTGCTAGGGCCGAAAAAATAGAATTTGTTGTGTTTATTCATGGGGGCATTAAACCCCATATAGAATATCGTAACGGTATGTAACGGTAACGTTGATGTTGCAGGTCTGAACAGGGCTAGCCTTCGCACGGAGGGTCTTCAGCTCAACTTGGCACTTCCTTCTAACGGCATCAACCTTGCGTCGAGCACGGTCCCGGACGCCATCACCTGAGAGAATGAGCCCACCACTCCCACAACCCCCCAGGAGTTTCCAACATTGCCGTACCTCTTTTTCCATTGGCTGACACATTGCAAAATCATTAGGCAATGCCGGCAATGCGATCAAAGTAGCCTGCAGCTTGCAACTGTTCCGCCATTGCTTTGCTCAGCTCCTGCTTCTTGGCCTGCAGATGCATACGCATGGCCTGCATCTCAGACTCCTCATAGCGCACCAGTTTCACGCAACAATGATCAGAATCAAATACTGTACTGTACTGCATTTAGTGAAAAATGGGTGTACTTTAAACTTTGGAAAAAAAATATATATATATTCATTATTTTCGTGTTTTGTTTTCAACATCCTCCGGTTCACATTTCCTTGCTAATTACAACAATTGGGCGTCCTTAAAAGAGAAACAGCTGCCGTAGCGGGCAAAAGGCATTGGAATAGTGCAGGCTTCATATTATATAACTCTTGGCTAAATACAGCTGTTTGGCGTCCTTAGCAGAGACACAGTTGTCGCAGCTGGCAAAATACATTGGAATAGTGCAGGTTTCACATTCATTGCTAGCTATACTGTTTGCCGAATAGGTGGCACACGTAAAAGTGCTCAATGTGCCATGTTGACCACTAGCAACGGGTGACATCACGGAGTAGAACAGAAACATGGCACATACCAGATGCCAGCTGATGAGAGGGGAGACTCTCAGGGGGGAAAGAAGAGAGAGGGAGAGAGAGAGAGAGAGCAAGGTTCAAAAGAAAAAGCTAGGAAAGGAAAAGAAATAGGACAAATGTATATCAAGGCAGAAAGAGGGACAGTAGAGGACAAGAGACAAAGGAAAAAGGAAGAGAAGTGCAAGAGAGAGGAAGGATATATAAGAGGGGAGGGGTGGTCGGAGAGCTGGGATTATGGGAACCACTAAGATGGCACATGCCAGGTGATGAGAGGGGAGACTCTCAGGGGGGAAGGTAGAAAACAGGGGAAAGAAGAGAGAGAGAGAGAGAGAGCAAGGTTCACAAGAAAAAGCTAGGGAAGGAAAAGACATAGGACAAATGCATATAAAGGCAGAAAGAGGGACAGTAGAGGACAAGAGACAAAGGAACAAGGAAGAGAAGCGCAAGAGAGAGGAACGATATAAGATGGAATGATGGGAAACACTAAGATGGCACACGCCAGGACTCTCAGGGGGAAGGTAGAAAACAGGGGAAAGAAGAGAGAGAGGAAGAGAGAGAGAGAGAGAGAGAGCGCAAGGTTCAAAAGGAAAAGCTAGGAAAGGAAAAGAAATAGGACAAACGTATATCAAGGAAGAAAGAGGGACAGTAAAGGATAAGAGACAAAGGAAAGAGGAAGAGAAGCGCAAGAGAGAGGAAGGATATATAAGAGGGGGGGGCAGGTGGGAGAGCTGGGATGAGTGGAGCCACTAAGATGGCACAAGGGAGACTGTCAGGCGGGAAGGTAGAGAACAGGGGAAAGAAGAGAGAGGGAGAGAGAGAGAGAGCGAGAGAACGCAAGGTTCAAAAGAAAAAGGTAGGAAAGGAAAAGAAATAGGACAAACGTATATCAAGGAAGAAAGAGGGACAGCAGAGGATAAGAGACAAAGGAAAAAGAAAGAGAAGCGCAAGAGAGAGGAAGGATATATAAGAGGGGGTGGGGCAGGTGGGAGAGCTGGGATGATTGGAGGTTTTTGAGGTTTTTGAGGTTGATTTTGACTCATATGTCATGTTCCATCCCAGGTTTTGATGTGCCATCTTAGAGTCCGTCGTAGCTGGCATAAATGCATTGGAATGGTGAAGGTTTCAGATTAATTCCTAGCCAATCACAGCAATTTGGTGCACTTAGCAGAGAAACAGCTGTCGCAGGCTGGCAAAATCATTGGAATAGTGCAGGTTTCAAATTGCTTGCAGCGTGGTCGACCGTTCACAAATTCAGTTTCCCGGGAAGCATAGCAGAGAGAAGCAAAAATAAGCGCAACAGCAGCAAAAGCAGAAACACCAAAAGCAAGAAGCAACACACAGCCAAGAAGCTACAACAACAAATGCAATACAGTAAACAGCAACAAAAGCCAAAAGCCAACAAAAGAACATACGACAAGCAAAGACACACATCAAGCGCAACAGAAAACGACAGAAACAAAAGACAAAGAGCAACCACAAACAAACAAAACAACAAAGGCAACTTCGTAGAAAAAAAGCAAACAACATAGACAAAGCAAAAAGCGGCGCGCGCAAAAAAAACAACTATATAAAGTTTATAAAGGGCGTGTTGTGAATTGTGCAAAATCGCTTCCGTTGAACGATATTGTGATATCCTTGGTTGATTGTTTTTGCGCGCTCACAACAAACCCCAAACCAACCATATCTGCGACATATCTGACGGCAATGCTGTTGAAGTACACAAAGCCCAAAACCAAAAAAAACGAGTCCAAAGCTGAAATGAAAGTAGTGACGAAATCATTGGTTTTTCCGAGTGTCAGGCATCTGTAGGGTTAATCCAGATCAGTCCTATTCATCTGACCCTTCTGATCCCTTCTGCCTTGACAATGTTCATGGTTCTATGTCAGTTATGTGTAGCTAACTAGTGGTGCTTGTTATGGGATTTGGTGAAAGCACGAAAAACAAATACCACCCAACAACAGGAAACAAACTATATGCACACGCCAAGACAACCAAACACATTGAATAACATGTCAAGAAAAGGATTAACAGAGTTGATTGCAAAAGGACTTTCAAGGTGGTCATCTCAGTATTGATGCAATATGATGACATTCACGCCTACTTTGATTACTTTCGATATGGATGAGTATGTTGATGGCATCATTATGTACGGTGACCACAAACCAGAGGAGAGAAACTTAGGGAATGCTAAAATAGAAGTTTATCACGGTATATTCAAAAAACCGAACTTGACACTGACTATGCAACCTTTGAAGAAACCATGTAATTGAAACACACTGAATGTGACGTTTTATGGCAATGAGCCCAGAATGAAGAAGATGACCAGAGATAAAGTCTTGGAACTCACGGGTAAAACTGCTGGAGAATTCATGATTCAAGACATTTGGAGCATCAGTTAATGAAAGGAATAAGGTGCTCAAAGAATACACTGTATCAGCCAGAATCGTTAATTGTATGGGCACAAGCCGTCAGACTTCACGTCAACACCACGGATGACCCCATTGAATGTAGGATGATTGAAGGCATTGACGACTTTCTGAATACACTGAGAAGGATGGACACACCATGATTTACAAAGAATATCATTTGTCAAAGCAAAAAGGCAGGATACAATCCTGACATCAAGCTTTTGTTCAGGTATAATCCCAGACTTGAATATCAGGTTCAAGCTGAAAAAGAAAAACCATACAGTAGATCAAATAACATAAGGTGAAAACCCAACATCTAACAGACTCAATCAATGCCAGTAAAACAGTTGAGGCAAAGAATACATATGTTCTTTCGCAACTAAAAACGTTTAATCCTTTACATACATACTGAAGTAAATATTGAAATCCTGAGCCAGTGTAGAACAGTCCCACCGGCTGGAACATTTCAAACCTTTCTTTATAACAGGGAGGTGCACTTGGAAATAGACGAGAACAAGGCTTACGCTTACTGTTTAATGTTTAATGGAAACAAAAACGTTATCAGTCTTCAAAGGCTTTGATGTATGTAGAGCCTACGATTCTAGATAAGCATCAGTTCAATGAGATAGGACAATTATGCGTGTTCTTGATGAGGGTAGTTGATGAAATTGCATTGTTGTTTTTACACTATCTATTAATGTACGGTATGTTGTTTTTAAGTAATTTGCCGATAAGGTTGACATTTTGCATTGTAAACAGCAGCCCTCTTGTGTATGACAGTTGGCTCTTATAAAGGGTGCAAAAAATGAAAACACTAAACAGCATGAAGATACACACGGAAAAAATGACTGTCAATGTTAACATAGGAATGCTGGAAAGGGGAAGTAACAGAAACCAAAGAGTATAGACAGTATAGATGTTGAAAGTTTGACTGAGGCAGTGTAGTATCAAAATCTGATGGGAGTCAGGATAGAGTGGGTGCTTTTGATACTGACGCATTATTGGACATGATTATTGAATACATAGAGGACGTAGAATAAAACGGTGGCAATAAAGTAATCAGGTGGGATGCTTAACTTACGAGGGTGATGCGGGGCAATGTGATGTTGAAGAAAGGCAAATACCAAATACTATATTCTAATTGTGTTTGGCAAACAGAACTTGACCAATGGTTTTAGATACCAAACATATATAACTACTGTATGTAGTTTTACCAAGTAATAACTAACTAGACTCAAAGTCATACCGTAGTGTTCAAACTGATGCCTTCATCATGGACATATCCTGCATTCTTCCAGGAAGAAATGTTTGGTGATTCTTGGACGCTGCACTTCTGATTGACTTTTAACTCGTGGATTAATCTCGATTAATCTTACAGACACTCATTTTCGGCAACTCACGACAAGCCCGTCCCAAAAAAAACGAAAGGAAAACAGCTGCCAAAGCAGTAACGCAACAACAGCAAAGAGCATTTAATTAAACAACAAACACGAAAAGCAAAAAGGCATCAAAAACAGCAGAAGCAGCAAAGCAACAAAAGCAAAGAGCAGAAAACAAAACATCAAAAGCATAATCTTAAAAAAACACGATTCCTTTAAACTTGAACCATTGAAACGGAACACCAACACAAACAACACCAAGAAGCAACAAGTTAGACCCGCCGTGACCGCGAAGTGGCAGCGGCTGCAGACCTTTTTACCACTCTTTACATGGAGGGTTACTGGACACAGTAAAACGTCAAGTCCCCCCCTCATAGTGAGATGGACAATTGTACAGCTAGTATTCCATGTCTGAGACATGTCGCTTCATTGATTGAACTGTCTGAGACCTGACAATTCCTATCGAAAGACTGCAAGCGAACATTACAGGCTTACGAACGGCTTCTGCGCTTAGAGCAGCCAGACACCCTTCATGCAAGCTTGGCGCTATGCTCGGCAATAGCACTGTGCGGCGTGCATTGTCATGACTTTCATTCAAAGCAGATCTAACTTTGTTTGGAACTGCGGCTGGTTGTCGCTTAGCTCTAACCATTTCATTCATTGCAGATCTAGCTTAGCGTCGAACTGCTGCTGACTATCGCTTAGCTCTAGCCACGCGAGCTCCTGCCTCATAGGACGGGAGCGGACTC